ACAGCCAGAGGAAAGGGATCTCACGAAAGACAGAGACAACGTTTTCTAGATTGCTGCACTCGTGAAGAGCACATTTTTTTTGGATGAGGCATAATTATAAATGACTTCTTTACCCAGTTTCATAAATCTTGCCATAAACAAGCTCATGTATTCAATAAAAAGTGCTTAAAAATAGTCTTGCTTTTTTAAGGCCACACTAAATCTTCCTAAATGGTACCCAAGCAGATGTAAGTTCTGTCATTCACTTACTGCATTATGTTGGATTTTTCCTTCTGCCTGTTTCCTTGTCTACAAGGCAAGTAGAAATATTTAGGTGTCATGGCACACGGTTACTCTGGATATTGACCTGATGCCCTTAGTACCTGAATCTTTAAGCAATCTTGTCTGACCACTTGCTTCTTCAGAGAATGTGCATTTTGAAAAATGGTCATTTATTTTGCATATTCCCAAAGTTTGATGATGACCTACAATTTAGTCCTATATACTTCCAGGGGAAGCAAGTAGAGAGGCACTGTTGGCTACAGGGCACTTTATTCTGAGTGATTAAATGGTAATTGGTAAAGGTCAACAAATTGTTGCTGTCATTCCAGACACAGACTGTCATGTTTTTCCACATAATAGCTGGCCATGGACAATATTATTCCATCATTTCCACCTAATTTGGTGAGTTTCCTAAATTACCACTGAGGATCTGCTTTAAGATTAGATTTTGTTTTCTTTCTTTTCAAACAAAAAAATATTATGTTATATATGACCTTACTATGCCTAAACACTATCTATCTTTTTCTTTTAACCCTATTGAAAAATCCCCATAACATTACAGATAGGGACATCAGTGTAATATCTTCAACTCATTTTAACTGTTTAATTCCTTGAAACACTGAAGTGTTTACACTGTGCACTTAGACATGGTGTTGTAGAGAGCCTGGCCTTTGAACTCAGGAACATCTCTTTTGCAGCCAACTTTGCCATTTACGGGTTATCTTGAGCAAGTTTCTGAACCTCTCTGGGTCTGCATCCTCATCTGAAAAAATGAGGACAAAAATATCTGTTTCACAGTGTTACTGTGGGAATTAAATATGGTAAAAGTAGGTAAAGGTCCACGTTCTCAGAGGCACTCAATGATGTTACCTCCCCCCACCGCTGTTTGTAACCTCTTGCTATTGTTATCAGCTCCAAACAGAGGTCTTCATTTTTTTTTTTGCGGTATGCGGGCCTCTCACTGTTGTGGCCTCTCCCGTTGCGGAGCACAGGCTCCGGACGCGCAGGCTCAGCGGCCATGGCTCACGGGCCCAGCCGCTCCGCGGCATGTGGGATCTTTGCGGACCAGGGCACGAACCCGTGTCCCCTGCATCGGCAGGCGGACTCTCAACCATTACGCCACCAGGGAAGCCCCAGAAGTCTTCATTTTGCTTAGTTTGATAGGACTGACACAAATGGAGTTTTCTTTCTGAGAAAGAAAACTTTCCTACATAAGCAATACTATGATGTATTTGGGGAAGTCAAAAATATCTATTATATAATTGCATTACCTTCTTATAGTTAAGGCTATTTGACTCTTTCAACTGACTCTGTATAAGCCCTCTCCTTGGAACAACAAGAACAGCAACAACAAAGCCTAGTGATCGCTGTACCAAGAAGTTTCAATTTAAAGGTACTTTGGAATTATGATAACATTTGGTCATGTTTGATTTAGTCTGAGCTGTTTTATATGTTAGCATCTGCCTTGGTCAGTCATTAAATAGCCTAAAAGTGGTAAAAGTTGCCCCAGTTTTGTATTGATGGAGAAGGCAGGGAAATAATCATAAGGGGAGAGATGACAAGAGGGTGTAAAGAGACAGCCTAAGCATCTGTCAAAGCTGATCAGGAGATGCAAGAGGTAGGAGAGATCCTATGAACAACTGATTAGCCCTCCATCAAATCTAAGTCCTCCTATGGCAAGGAGAAATCTGTTGCAGAGTGTGGTGTACTTGGCTGGGCTATTGAGTCAGGAATTCTTTTGCACTTTGAGTTTTCTAGCGTGCTTCCTCACTTTGGAAAAGATGAACGCTACCAAAATATTAGAAAAAGGATAAATCTCAACCAGAGGGTAACACACTTTTGGCAGTAAATACAGGCAACTAAAAGCAATAAAAATCTTATTCTGCTTAGATCTGAAAATATAATGGTAACAGCCATTGTAACTACAAAGGCTTGTCTTGACCTTGGTCTTTCAGAGACCAGGGGAGGGAATGAAAGAAGAGATGCGGAAAGGCAGAAATGGAGACACCAGGAAGAGTGAGGGACTGATGGGGCAGTGTGGGGAGGGACCACTCATCTACTAAGGGTTTTTACATATGTCCCTTTCTTCTTCATCCCTGGGAAGGTTTGACTGACTTCTCTATGACCTGAAGTGTACTGTTCCTCGGAGATTATTTGCATCAAGCCGTGTCCTATTTGAAAACTGCAAATACCTCTGAGAAGTATTACTGTGACTTAGCTAATTTCCCAGCTGAAATCTGACATGGATGTGATGCACAGAGTGTGTTGGGAATGGAGGTGGGTTGAAGACTGCTGTGGGCCAGAGGGGTGGTCTACAGAAGAAATGACGGGAAGGGACCAAAACCCTCTGACAATTATTGTAGGTGAAGAATGATGTACATCCTCTCATCTTTTATTCTTGGGACCCATAATTAGGCTGGTACTAGAGCAGTGTTTGTTTGAATACAGAATGGGGTAAACTCGTTTTCATAAGCTAGCCATGAATCCCACAATAGAGAATCTGTCAAGACAATGAATTCTGACTTCTAAACGGTTAACAACTTCCAGAACATGACCTTCATGAATTGAGACTGGCTTCCTTTGAATTTTTATACTTTATAAAAAGTTCCTAGATATAAACATCTTGTAATTACTCTGATTTGATAATACTCTGCTTTGCTGAAGCTCCCCCCACCCCCGTAAACTGCGGAATACTCACAGGCTCACAAGGAAATGAACCTTAGATGAGCTACAAAAAGAAACAAAACAATGGTGTACTGCTTTTGTTTAGAAAAAAAAAAAAAAAAAGTATCCAACTTTCAATTCTACTTACAAAATATAAAAAATCTAAAGTATAGAACACAACTTACTGCTATCCCCACGATTCATTGCTTGTTAACATCGAATTGTTGATCTGTTTCTAAACTTGCATTATTGTCTAATGAGCAAAAAACTGAAGGCAAAGAGTGTTTTGTGGAACTGGAAAAACATCTTCTGAATTCTGTGGTCACCTCCGGATGGCATAGCGAATGATAAGGTTCTTTCTTTTAGATTGCCTAAATGAATCAGGGAACCCTGTCTTCCTCTTAACCTTGTAGATAGTTATATATTCCCAAGGAAGACAAAGTTTACAAATACCAGCACTGAATAAAGCTGTCAGTTTTAAATCCTTACTTCCACCCTTAAGAGTTGATGTTTTAGGGGCAGTATTTTCAATTACGAATAATTTTTAGGAGCTGGGAAAATTAAAACATATCTCTTAGCAACTAACTCTTTAGAATGTGTGTGAGTGGGCTTGACTGAGGAGTTTCAATCACTATTATAATTTAAGAAATATTAAATATACTGTAAATAATATAAAGATTCCAAATTAATTTTCTAGTAATAATTAGGAAAATAAATATCTGGTTAAAATATGCCTGAATTAAAAGACCTCAAACAGAGGGCAAATCTACTTGCCAGAGAGGAGAAGTATTTTAAACTGAAAAACTTCATTTCCTAAACTTCATCCTGTGTCCTTTTCTCCTGTAGTTTTATTTTCTTCTGAGACTAGAGTATGTATGAACGATACCATAATTTCATACGATTGTTATCTAATATTTTCAGATTTAAAATGATTTCATCATCACCTCCTTTCCCACCCCTTCCAGCTGTCTCCCTAACCCCACACTTCCTGCTCCCTTCCCTGAGAAGTCTGTTCATTGGATGGTGAATTCTTGAGTTTCTTTCTTCCAAGGGTGTTGATATAAAATGAGTTGTTTTGTTTTCTTAAAGACAAAATGTTATACCTTATGTTCTGATAACTGTGGAGCATGGAAATGTGTGTGCAACAAGGAACTAAGGCACCATGTTTTCTTTCCCTTTTCATTTTTGTGTTGGGAACAAAAGCAAAGACTATTGGGACAGTCAGGGTGGCCGGTCTTAAGTCATTTGGCACTACCTGTATCGGCCAATACCACTGAGTACTGTGTGTCAAAGGCTGCCATGCCACAGACTTAAAGTCCTGCCATGAAAGAATTTCCTTCCTTTAGAAGTAGGGAAGTGAAGGCACAATAGTACCTTACATGAGGAAGTTGGCAAATACCAACCAGAAAATCTTGACAATTTAGGAACAATTTTGAAATGTTCTGGAATATTTTAAAGAGGAAGTAAGTCATCCCTTTCTTGATTATGACACCCAAGAATACATTTTTCCAACTGTTTTCTTCCCTGCCAAACTCATAATCTTAATATAAATCTTCCTCCAGTTAATCATGTCTGGTAATCATGTCTGTGTGTACATCAGCTTGACTTACCAGCAGACATTTCTTTAGCTATTGCATTTTTTAAAATGATGGATCGCCCGGGTTCAATCCCTGGTCGGGGAACTAGATCCTGCAGGCATGCTGCAACTAAGACCTGGTGCAGCCAAAATAAATAAATAAATAAAATGATGGATCAATGTAATGTTTTCAAAGGAGTGGCCCTTGAAAGTGACTCATTTGGGGATAATATTGCAGGCAAAAGCATTGGGAAATAAGATTTAGAAATGTGTCAAGGAATGTAGAGTCTTCTGAAATTATGTACAAATTTAGAGTTTCACTTGTGTCATCCAGATACAACCTTAGTATCCAGAATGGCCCCAATGCTGATTAGTTAGGGAGCAACTGGGTGTTCTCTGAGTCACGGGGGCTGGTGGTGGGGAAAATGCTATCAGCTGGATTGGCAGACATACTCTAAACCCTCCTAGTGTATTTCCTTGGGAATGGAATGTGAGTCTTCTACACAATGATGTCATAGACACGGCCCACTCTGCCAAGCCATTCTCTCACAGCCTGGCGAACTCTGATGTCAGTCACATGACAGGTCAGCTGGCTGATGCATGGGAACACTGCTGGCTGGAGCGCTGTGAAGGTCTGGTCCGGAAGGATCTGAATCTGATTGAGAACTGTTAGCACCATGTTGGTCCATGCCTAAGAGAAAGGGATTAAGAGAATTAGCAGTTTTCTCCAGCAGTTTCATTTGTACTCTTAAGTGTGGCTAATACGCAAATGAGTTTTCTCAGGCTTTAGGCTTCAATAAATGTAGTCTTTACTAATTTAATGCACTTATAATAAAACATCAATTTAAGTTCATAGATTTATATATATATATATATATATATAAGGAGTAGCAGAGACTAATTTCACATTAGGAATACATTATTTCCAGCTTTTACAAAATACAAAAATCTTACTCCTCAGATTTTTAAAAACTCTCTTACCTTCTCATGATGAGATTTTCATAGGCCATATGACATTTTTAATCAGCAGTCTCTCTAATGTCTAGAAAACTTGGAATAGGTCTACCTTAATTTAGGGTAACTTTTGAAATCATAAGCAAATCTCCAAGACATGAAAAAGCAATAAAGATTTGTTATTTGTCAAGAAGGCCATCTGTTAAAGAATAACCTTACATCTCAGTTTGACTGGATACTTTTACAAATACAGTCTAAGATGATTTCTGTGGATTCTGAACTATGAAGTTTAGTTCTATGTTCAAGATACATCAGAGGAAAAGAGTATCTTGCAAGATTCATAGTAATTCCAAATTTATGTTCATTCTAAGAAATTACATTCCTGTATAGGTCCATAGAATCCTAGGGCCCAAGAGCTCCTATCTTACTATGCCTGCAACAGGAATCTACAACTTAAAATAAACATCCAGATGACTTTTAAAGGGCTCTCCATGAGTTCAGATCCTTCTATCTTTTCCCATCTCATCTTTTCTTAAATTGAATGAAACAGTGCCCCTCTTCTTTACTTCTCAAGCTCATTTTTGGGAGGTACCATAGAATTGCAAATATTAATTATATAAAGGAATAGGAACACTCTGAAAATGAGAATTTTTATGTGCTCAGGACGGGCTAGGAAAACAATTCATTGGAATAACCACATAATATGCACGTTGCCTTTTCCCTTTACATAATTCTTCATAACTACAGAATTGCTTCAGGGCTATCTTCAAATGATTAACTGGCATTGAGTCCTGGGTTTAAGTCCATCCATTTTCCAAGCTTTGGCGTCATCTTATTTACACAGTTGGGTTCCTAATTCTCAGTAGTATCTGTTATAACCCATAAAAACAATTCCTGAAATTATATGAGAATACAATTTCAGTTTCACAAGGATATACTGATGGATCCTATGTCTTAGGGGCAGGCAGTCCCCTGACTGTGGAGGATCATAACGTGTCTGAGTGCTCCCTGAGGGGCACAGGTGTGTCACTGGCACCCAGCTTCCCTCCTGCATGGCCGGCTGTGGACCCTTGCATCCTCCGGCGGGGGGCGGGTACCCACCTGGATCTGGGCTTCGGCGTCCCTTGCGGAGACACTCCGGGAGCTGCCGGTGGAGCCCGAGCGGGGCCTCTTCTCCTGGCGCAGCAGCTCGGGGCCAGCGCTGAAGGAGTGCCGCATCTGCCCCTGGTCCATCAGGTGCTGGGGCCGCTGGAGCAGCGGGGAGCCTTGGCCCCTGGGCCCCAGTGGCTCTCCCTTCTTCTCCACCTTGACCTCTTTGGGGAAGGTGGGCAGGTTATGCTGTTGTTTCCTCTTCTTGTACTCGGTCATCAGCTTTGAGATGGTCCTGTCGGCTGCCGCGGTGTAGATTTTGTTGCCGGCGTCCTCCCACCACTCCTTCTTGCGGCTGGGGTCCCTCTTCTGCACCTTGGGGCTCGGGGGCAGCAGCAGCATTTCCCCGCTGGTCCCCCTCAGGCTCGGCGGCTCGCCCGCGTGATCGCGGGTCTGACTGCGGTCATCCTCGGAAGGTGTGTCTTTCCCCGAGAAGCCCCCAGTGGACGGGGTGGATGACCCCGACTGGAAGGAGGGGAGGATGAAGAAAGGGTCGCTCTTGAAGATCGGTGCCTCCTCCATACTGTTTTCCAGGTCCAAGTGCATCTGGATGTAGTTATTACACAGCTCCATGCACAGCTTGTGAAGCCTCTTGACCAGCCACACCCAGTCCGCGTTGCTGATGGGCTGGACACTGAGGGAGGGCATCCGAGCCCTCCACTGCCTCTTCTCCTTGCCTCTAGGGGGGCTCACCTGGGCGGTCTCCTCAAAAATGTCTTCATCTTCTGATGAACACTGCTGGGAGGAATCTGTGCTCCTCTCATCGTCCTCAAAAAGGACCTTCTTAACTTGCTCAGCGGTGATGGTTTCTTGGTTGCTGAGAACAGCACAGACCAGTGCATGGAAATAAATGTTAAAACTCATGGCAGACTGGCGGTAGAGGTTGGCAGCGCCCCCGATGCCAGACACTTTCTTCAGCAGGCACTTCAACCCAGGGCTGGTGTCAAACTCTCTGGCCGTCCTGTAGGAGTCCAACAGCAGGTCAAAGATGACGGCCAAGTTCTGCATGGAGATGTATCTGAGGAAGCCAGCCAGCTTGGTTTCTGACACTTGGATCTTCTCATCCCCAGGAGAGGGGCCTTTGACAAACTCTTCTAACAAGATATCATATAAGTTCTGGAGTAACACTTGATGGGATAGTAAACTCACCACAATTTCCCTGAAGGAAACACTTCAAATGAAAAGAAAGGCATTGATTAGTAGCCAGTTGCCTTATATGAGTTACCTTAAAGCAATTCAGACCTTACACAAACAGAATGACTAGGCAAAATTACAAGCTAAACTACTTGTATTTTAATGTCTTTCTTCAAAAGGGACTAATTTCTTGGGGCATTACAAGATGACAATTTTAATCATGATTAATGGAATTCCTGACACTTTTAAAATCTGGGAGCTATAGAATTAATATTATGATATTGAGTTAACGATTCTCAACAAGACTTAGGAAACAAATAGAAGAATTTTATAAAAAAATTTTTAATGTAGACACAATTATGGTATATGACCTGTTTTCTTTCGTAGTTATGAGTAATAAAAACAAATCAAGAAAGTAACAATTTCTGTTGAGTTATAGCAATTTTAATTGGCCTTTTTCCTACCCTTTGCCATTGTTCCTTAAACCCAAAGCTTTTACTATTTTTTTTAAGTGATGGCTGAGGAATTTTTAATTAACATTATGCTTGGACATTTGAGTTGATTTTGTTTCCCCGGTTTCACTTTTTCCTGCATATCTAGGAATGAAGTCTTTATTTCACGAAGATAGGCTTAAGAGCTTAAAATCTCTCTTCTGCTAGTTATCTAGGGAATCCAAGAAATAGCTAATTGCAAGATTCCACATTATTCTTTAACTGGTTGCATCATTTTATCTTGTGCAAGGATAGCCTCTGGAAGTACAAAGTCAGGATGTGACAGCACGTTGTATAACATACCCAGACAAAAGCAATATTCCATATAGGCCTGGGGGAAGAGAGAGGAAGAAGGAAGTATTTACTGGTCTTCACATTCCAGATATAGGAATTCTGACTACAAGTCTGTCAAGTGTGTCAACTCTGCTAAGACACCTAGCTATGAGAATACCTGGAGAGATTTTTTTTTTAAATTTAGAGTATAGTTGATTAACAATGTTGTGTTAGTTTCAGGTGTACAGAGAGTGATTCAGTTATACATATACATGTACCTATTCTTTTTCAAATTCTTTTCCCATTTAGGTTATTACAGAGTATTGAGCAGAGTTCCTTCCCTGTGTTACACAGTAGGTCCTTGTTATCTATTTTAAATACAGCAATGTGTACCAGTCAATCCCAAATTCCCAATCTATCCCTCTCCTCCATACTTGCCCTCTGGTAACCATAAGTTCATTCACTAAATCTGTGAGTCTGTCTCTGCTTTGTAAATAAGTTTGTATCATTTTTTCTGGATTCCGCATATAAGCGATATCATATGATATTTGTCTTTCTTTGACTCACTTCACTTAGTATGATAATCTCCAGGTCCATCTGTGTTGCTGCAAATGGTATTATTTCATTCTTTTTAATGGCCGAGTAATATTCCACTGTACATATGTACCATACCTTCTTTATCCATTCATCTGTCAATGCACAGATGAATGTTTCCATGTCTTGGCTATTGTAAACGGCGCTGCGATGAACAGTGGGGTGCATGTATCCTTTCCAACCATTTTTCCCTGGATATATGCCCAGGAGTGGGATTGCTGGATCATATTGCTGGATCATAGCTCTGTTTTCAGTTTCTTAAGGAACATCCATACTGTTCTCCATAGTGGCTGTACCAATTTACATTCCCACCAACAGTGTAGGAGGGTTCCCTTTTCTCCACACCCTCTCCAGCATTTATTGTTTGTAGACTTTTTGATAATGGCCATTCTGATGGGTGTGAGGTGATATCTCATTGTAGTCTTGGTTTGCATTTCTCTAATTAGAGATCTTGAGCCCCTTTTCATGTGTTTCCTGGCCATCTGTATGTCTTTGGAGAAATGTCTGTTTAGGTGCACATTTTATGATTGGGTTGTTTGTTTTTTTCAATATTGAACCGCATAGGCTGTTTGTAAATTTTGGAGATTAATCCCTTGTTGGTCGCATTGTTTGCAAATATTTTCTCCCATTCTGTGGGTTGTCCTTTTGTTCTGTTTATGGTTTCCTTTGCTGTGCAAAATCTTTTGAGCTTAATTAGGTCCCATTTGTTTATTTTTCATTTCATTTCCATTATTGTAGGAGACGGAATGAAAAAGATATTGCTGCAATTTATGTCAAAGAGTTCTGCCTCTATCTTCCTCTAAGAGTTTTATAATATCTGGTCTTAGATTTAGGTCTTTATTCCATTTTGAGTTTATTTTTGTGTATGGTGTTAAAGAATGTTCTAATTTCATTTTTCTACATGTAGCTGTCCAGTTTCCCCAGCACCATTTCTCGAAGAGATTGTCTTTTCTCCATTATACAGTCTTGCCTCCTCTGTTGTAGATTAATTGACTATAGTTGTGTGGGTTTGTTTCTGGACTTTCTATCCTGTTCTCTTGATCTATATTTCTGTTTTTGTGCCAGTACCATACTGTTTTGATGACTGTAGCTTTGTAGTATAGTCAGAAGTCTGGGAGCCTGATTCCTCCAGCTCTGTTTATCTTTCTCAAGATTGCTTTGGGGCTTCCCTGGTGGTGCAGTGGCTAAGAATCCTCCTGCCAATGCAGGGGACACAGGTTCGAGCCCTGGTCCGGGAACATCCCACATGCCGTGGAGCAACTAAGCCCGTGCGCCACAACTACTGAGCCTTGGCTCTAGAGCCCACGAGCCACAACTACTGAAGCCCATGTGCCTAGAGCCTGTTCTCTGCAACAAGAGAAGCCACCGCAAAGAGAAGCCTGCGCACCACAATGAAGAGTAGTCCCCGCTCTCAGCAACTAGAGAAAACCCAGGTGCAGCAGCGAATACCCAATGCAGCCAAAAATTAAATAAATGAATAAATTAAAAAATTTAAAAAAAGATTGCTCTGGCTATTTGGGGTCTGTTGTGTGTCTATACAAATTTTAAATGTTTTTGTTCTAGTCCTATGAAAAATACCATTGGTAATCTGACAGGGATTGCACTGAATCTGTAGATTGCCTTGGGTAGTATAGTCATTTTGACACTATTGATTCTTCCAATCCAAGAACATGGTATATCTTTCCAACTGTTTGTGTCATCTTCAGTTTCTTTCATCAGTGTCATAGTTTTCAGAGTACAGGTCCTTTGCCTTCTTAGGTAGGTTTATTCCTAGGTATTTTATTCTTTTTGTTGTGATGGTAAGTGGGATTGTTTCTTTTATTTCGCTTTCTGACCATTCATTGTTAGTGTACAGAAATGCAACAGATTTCTCTGTATTTATTTTGTATCCTGCAACTTTACCAATTTCATCGATGAGCTCCAGTAGTTTTCTGGTATCATGTTTAGGATTTTCTACGTATAGTATCATGTTATCTGCAATCAGTGGCAGTTTTACTTTTTTCCAATTTGGATTCCCTTTATTTCTTTTTTTTTTTTTTTTTTTTTTTTTTTTTTTTTTTTCTACGCGGGCCTCTCACTGCTGTGGCCCCTCCCATCGCGGAGCACAGGCTCCGGACGCGCAGGCTCAGC